AATATATGGAGATCGATTGTCTTTTCGATCTGTGCCCGACCGAACGTGAGAGATGACAGTATAAATTGGTCCGATATTGGAAGCTTCCCATTTGATTTTGAGGTTAATATTGATGATGATGACGACGATGATGATGATGAAACAGCCATTCCTCACTTAACGACCTGCCTGTTTAATGACCCCGAACTTACGACAAGTTATAAAATCTCATGAAAATAAAAATCCCCGTCCGGAGTAAGACAATAAACTACATCCAACAGCAAGGCCTCTGATCAGGAGGTTTTGAGGAGCGTTGAACCACTTCTTAATTGCTGGTGTTCCAAGGTCCACCCTGTCTCGGGGTGGTAGCACCTGTTAGGGTCCCAGTTATGGGCAAATAGTTAACCCTTAAACTGGGGTCGAAACACTATGAAAGTGTAAAAATAGGTTTTAATACCAGCAATACATTTTTGTAAAAGGTTAATAGCAGCAATAGATGTTTGAAGAAAAAAATATTACCAACAATATATTTTTAAAAAAAAAATATTACCAGCAATAAAAATCTTGTTGGCATTAAATAACCCATAGAGGTTGATAGGCCGTAAAACAAACCAAACCAAATTAAATTAAAAATCCAACCAGTCTGTATTGTACGTTCTACGAAAAGTTTGATCATTGTTTTTTCTTTATTTATTTCTTTTTAAAAATTAATCAAAATTAATAAATAAAGCTTTAAAATAATATAAAATTTACTTATACTGTATTTACACTATATAAACTGAAGTAATCTATAGAATATAGAACTGCTTTTCAAATTTCTTTAGTACGTTTAATTTTCAGTAATAAATTAGAATCTATCTGAAGCTGAGCGAAACAAACTCATTGCACGCGTAGTGTACCTGAAATAACGACCAAGTAAAATTTCTCACTTAACGACTAATTCGTTTAGCGACCATGTAGTTTAGCCGTTAAGTGAGGAGTGGCTGTATAGTGATATTTAAAACATATACTTGTTCTTTTTTTTGTTGTTTGATTTGATATTATTTCAATTTTATTTTCAGCATCTCTGGTCCTGAGTTAAAGTTTAGAAATGTTCATTTGCCTTTGACACTAAATCATGTCCACCATTTTATTTTTTATGTTGTTGCGTCCAGGCAAAGGAGCAAGTCAGGCTATGGCTAACAGTGAGCTCCTGCAGAACCCCGTGGCCGGACTTATGATAGGGGTGTTGGTCACTGTCCTGGTACAAAGCTCATCAACATCTACATCTATTATTGTTTCCATGGTTGCATCAAACAGTAAGTATTTTCTCGGGAAATTATTCTCAATATCAGAACGTAAAATTTGTTGGTAAGTGAGGCATCATGGGAATAATTTGGGCGTTAATATCCTGATTTTCATTTAATATATATATATATATATATATATATATGTGTGTGTGTGTGTGTGGTGGACTCTTCCGTCGTATTCGACGTATGAGGCCAGACACCAGCAGATATTATTTGATAATAGTGGTGAAGGCTTTGTGCAGAACCAACCACACTATTTGAAGGGCCGAATACAGAGACCTGGTGCCACAAGGTCCCCAAACGCAGTTTTTGAATTCAGAGTTGTTCTTATCCTAGGCCATTTGCCATAACCAGTCTTTCCTGCTATTTACCCATAGCTGGAGGGAGAGAATTAATACCTTTTCCAAGTGTGTTAACACGTAAGTGAATGTAATGGATTCGACTGAATTCGAACTCGGTTCTCCGATTTCTCAATCCGAGCCGATATATATATATATATATATATATATATATATATATATATATATATATATATATATATATAATAAAAATAAAGATGGAATTTGTGATATCAAGTTGGATGTTTTGTTGTTAACGTTTCGCTCTGAACGAGCATTATCAAAACGACTGAAATAAAAATGTCGTTACCATAGTAATCCTGTTACTTCGAAATGCCGTGATTAATTTTAGAAATTTAAACAGGTAATATTTTTTTAATTATTGGTCTACAATCAATTAGGTTTGTATCTAGGAAATATATTAAAATAAAATATATTAAAATAAAATATATTAAATATATTAAAATAAAATATATTAAATATATTAAAATAAAATATATTAAAATAAAATATATTAAATATATTAAAATCAAATGTAAATATGGTGTTTTGAGACAAAAAACTGAAAGAATGTTGAGAAAATATTAAATTTCTGAAATAAAATATTAAAAATTATTTACACTATTTATGTCATTCAGACTGTTGTCCTCATCTTTATTGCCATGTTCACGATGTTTCGGTCGTTATACGCTCCCGCCTTCTTCAGGTGATATTCTTTGTAATTTCGAACCTATTCATATCTATCTATAAAGGGATTACAAAGAGGGAGAAAGTGCTGCATATTATGAGGATATGTTAACTGCTAATCCACGAGTGATCAGAGAAGCATCCTCTTGAAAAAAAACCGTTCTGGGTAAGCTGTCTGAATGGGACTCCCTCCCCCACCAATGGAATATGAAGAGAAGGAGGATGATTCAACTCTGTATACGTAGCATAGCAGGTTATATCTGTGAAGGTCTGACTGGTGGAACGACAGAGCATAGCAGGTTATATCTGTGAAGGTCTGACTAGTGGAACGACAGAGCATAGCAGGTTATATCTGTGAAGGTCTGACTAGTGGAACAACAGAGCATAGCAGGTTATATCTGTGAAGGTCTGACTAGTGGAACGACAGAGCATAGCAGGTTATATCTGTGAAGGTCTGACTGGTGGAACGACAGAGCATAGCAGGTTATATCTGTGAAGGTCTGACTAGTGGAACGACAGAGCATAGCAGGTTATATCTGTGAAGGTCTGACTGGTGGAACGACAGAGCATAGCAGGTTATATCTGTGAAGGTCTGACTGGTGGAACGACAGAGCATAGCAGGTTATATCTGTGAAGGTCTGACTGGTGGAACGACAGAGCATAGCAGGTTATATCTGTGAAGGTCTGACTGGTGGAACGACAGAGCATAGCAGGTTATATCTGTGAAGGTCTGACTGGTGGAACGACAGAGCATAGCAGGTTATATCTGTGAAGGTCTGACTAGTGGAACGACAGAGCATAGCAGGTTATATCTGTGAAGGTCTGACTAGTGGAACGACAGAGCATAGCAGGTTATATCTGTGAAGGTCTGACTGGTGGAACGACAGAGCATAGCAGGTTTACTTTCGAACAAATACACTTAGGAAATGCATAAACCAAATTTTTACTGTCTCAACTTTGAGTTAAATAGCAGGGTAGCCTGGGCTTTCTAGCCTTGGGAGAAAAAAAGTAAAATTCTGCATACCAAACCGTGGAAAAGACAACGGGAAACCACACCACTATATTTCCCAATAAGTTATGGCAATGTTTAGATAATAAAAGAAAATGAATTGGTGGGAATTCATGATCGATTTCGTTCTGAAGAGACACGGTATTTGAAAAAAAAAATGGAAAATAGCCTAAATTTTTACCAAGTAAGATGGATCTGTGTTTGTTCCAAAAGAAAGAAATTTAATTTTCTTTCTTTTTTTTTTTTTTTTTTTTTTTACTCGAATATGATTAGAATGTCCAACTTAGTATTCCATTCTTGATAACTTTGTGTTCTATTTCAGTTATAACCGTTAAAATGTCCATCCCATTAGTGATGGGAGCCAACATCGGAACGTCTATTACAAACACGATAGTCTCGATGGCGCAAGCCGGTGATCGAAACGAATTCCGGCGAGCATTCGCCGCGGCCACCGTACTGGATATGTTCAACTGGTTGACCGTAATAATTCTACTGCCACTCGAAGCGGCCACTGGATACTTGCTCTGGCTGACCAGTCTAATCACTCAGAGTATCGAACTTGAAGGACAGTCCAATAACATTGAGCTTCTGGTCGTCTTGACACGACCATTTACTCACCGAATAATTCAGGTATTTAAAATTTTATCATCAGTTTTCTTCTTTTTTTTTTTCTTATTTATCATCGACATATTAATTATAAATTTCAGTCTAGTTATATCTGTATATCTATCTCTACCATTCTGTTCATATATATCTGAACACTGACTTCCGGTTATTTATATTACAGTGTGCGATAGTTAAATTGTCGTCTAAATTACGCAAAAATTAAAAGAAATACACTGGCATCTTATTTTAACAGATATATTTACCAAAATTATACAAAAATATCTTTAAATACTAAAGGGTAAATTTACTCAATAAAATCAACATTGGCTTCAACCATAGCCCCTAGGCGACTTCAGAATCACTTCCAACTCTTCTGAACGGTCTCCTTCTTTAAGTTAGTGAATGTTGCCATAATTCTTGCCTTCATTTCATCATTGGTGATACAATTTTTTTTTTTTTTTTGGTGGGGGGGGGTTCTCGCTCAACTGCACCCCACGCATAATAATCAAGAGTTTGCAGTCTGGGGAGTTGAGTAGCCAGACGTAAGGGGTTATGTGGTCGCAGAAATTGTCCGACAGCCATGATTGGGTTCTCCTGCTTATTTGGCATTGTGTAGATTCCTGTTGCTAGAAATAGGCTCTTCCAGCAGCCACTTTCTTGGCCCAAGGCTGCACTACCTCCTCAAGACACTTGATGTAGGCCCCCGGGTTGAGTATGCAGCACTCACCAACAAATTTGGGAGTTCTTTTCTTATCAGAACAATCAGAATGAGTTTTCCGAACTGCCGTACCTTCGTAATCACCATTAGACTCGTCCAACTTTTTCCGAATCCTCTACCGAATCTGTCTTGAGATTGACACCAAAACACTTTGAAATATTCGTATTGGAGCTTCTGGCGCGAATGGCAAGCACTACACCATGCCGTTTCCAAATTTCTGGTGGAATGAATTGCGTCATTGGTGCTCTTTTTCTCACAGGCGGTGTCCAACTGATCCTACTATACTGTGCAGCCGACAAAATCAAAAACAAACAACGCGCATGCGTGAAATTAAAAACATAAAACGGCGACAATTTACCCATCTCAACCTTTATATGTGCCTATTCATATCTATCTATCTATCTGTGCCTGTTCATATCTATCTACATGTACCTGTTCATATCTATCTATCTATCTATCTATCTATCTATCTATCTATCTATCTATCTATCTATGCCTGTTTCTATTTGCCTCAGTTTTTTATCTACCTATTTATCTACTTTACTTATGACAGCCTAATTAAAAAAAAGAACATATTTCTTTACGGAGAAAGTACATCGATGACCTACTAATAACAATATTACCAACTATAAACACAAGTCCAAAACGATTTATTACATTGTCGACATTTACTGAATCCATTGTTAAAGAATCTAACATAGGTTTCTCTAAAACAAATGGTTTGTACGTAAAATGGTTCTTAAATCAACATGCGAAAACCAACAAACATAATGTCTACTAGACGTACACAATTATGAAAATACATTATCATCTGATTCGCACAAGGACAACCTAAAATTACTATACACCTACATACATAAATCATTATTTATGGTTTGTCAGGTAGGCTTCGTATCTGTTGGTTTCTTGAAACTTCAGATGGACACGTCGTATTTCCTTGAAATCGGAACGCCATAAATTATACTACCGTCGGTCGAATGCACATGAAACATGATTAAACAATGAAAACAAAGAACATGCTATTTCTGTCTGTTCATATCTATCTATCTATGCTTGTTCATATCTATCTATCTATCTATACTTGTTCATATCTATTTATCTATCTATCTATGCTTGTTCGTATCTATCTATGCCTGTTCACGCACACACACACACATATATATATATATATATATGGGCGCGTGGCTAGAACGTTCGCTTTCTGACCATGAGACCCGGGTTCGACTTCCTCATGTTATTAGAATGGATCGAGGTCGATCCCAGCGTGCGGGATCGTTTAGAAAGTGCCTGAAAACCATTCCACAGTTTGACCCAAGCCTTGTGAGTGAAATTGGGTGGACGGAACTCTTGTCGATAGTCGTGGCCGAGGGTTTGAGCAAATTGTTGATCAGGCTAGATCACAAGTTCTTTCTCAGAAACTCTAACTAAAGTCTGCTCAGCATAGTCGCAGTATAAAACACGGGGGTGGGGGGCTCTGTGAGTGTTGAGCAAACACAAATGTGCCCGCGTGAGTGTCTGCAATAGGGATTGGCTAGCTGCCCGAGTAGATGGGTATCCTCGAATGCGAGTAGCCAGCTATTATCTATTTTATATATATATATGTGTGTGTATTGATTTTCCAAGCGTAGCTCAGATGTGGCACAAGACCGAAAGCATGGGGTACCCAGTGAGGATCGAACTCACTACTCAGTCGTAATAGTTCTAGCGAGACAAGCTTGCTAAACATTACACCACCTCGAGGTGCCCACCGTTCATATCTGTGTATGTCTGCTCATATCTATCTATCTGTACCTGTTCATATCTCTATCTCTCTATGTCTGTTCATATCTATCTATCTTCTCGGGCGTTGTTTATTATATTGAAAAAATAAGCCATAAACAATGCTCATTGCATAAACCTTCTTTTTTGTATATTATTATTATTATTATCATTATTATTATTATTATTATTATTATTATTATTATTATAATTATTATTATTACTATTATTATTATTATTATTATTAACAGCTTGACACTTCTCTGCTGGAGAAGGTGGTTTCGGGGGAAAACGTAAACGCGAGTTTGGTTAAGCGTTGGTGCCGAAAAAACATCACGGAACTTAATTACACCGAAACGAAAACACAATTATTCCCAAGTAAGTCTAACTTATTACAACCAATTATTGCCAGTATGTAAAACCTTCTAATTCTGTTTATATAATCAGTAACTACTTCATGTAACCTAATCGAACTATTTGAAAGCAAACAGAAAAGATAAGTGCGTAACTACTTAATATGCAGGGGAGACAAAAACGCAGAACACCCTGTAGAAAGTTTGTGTTTTTTTTCTTTTTACATTTAACAAACAAAAATATGTATTACTGACTTTAATAGAAATGTAAAAAAAAAATCTACTACATATTTTTTAATCGGTTTCACCCCATGAAAGACAGTAAAGGGGTTTCATGGTATGGAAGCATTCGGAACAGAAATATTAATAATGATTGGGAAGAGAAAAGAGTAATCAGGGGGACAGTAGATAGCGATTAACATTGCATTTAAATTTTTGCGAATTAAAGTTGGCTAGAAAGCATGGAGCTGGAAGTTCCACAAGCGAGAAGTGCAAGAAATACTGTTAGCATAGAACTTACGGCTACATCTAGCCAGCTCTAATGTAATGAGATCTCGACACCAGTCTAGTACTGCGCTTAAATTCAAAATGTCTAATTACTATAATGAAGAGCTCACAAGTATTTATAGAAAAGACCTTACGTCGGTAGGAAAGTGGCTGAAGACGAGCCGCCAGAACAGGACCAATAATATTGCAGATTCTTCTGTGGATTTTATCAAGGAGCTCAAGGGGCACTGGACCATATGTGCCAGTAATATTCTAATCCTGACCGAATTACATGTTGGGATTATTTGTGTATAATACAAACTGTTTTTTTTTCCAGATTTATAAGCCTAGAGTTTCGGATTGAAATATACAAGAGGACGAAATATTTACTTCCATCCGGTCAAGTATGTCACTAATTTCGGAATGGTATGATCGAAAGTAAATTATTTATGTGGTCCAAACTAACTAATGAATAATAAAAAGCTAAGCAAAGTATTAAGAAACAGGAAAATTTTCATTAGAAACAAAAATATTATTGAACTGTTACGTAATACCAGTCCTCTTATATGGCAGTGAAAGTTGGACAATCTCCTTAAAGATGAAGAAGAGACTTGAAGCAACAAAAATGTGATTCTACAGAAGGATGCTGAGAATACTATGGACCAAACATATCAGAAACGACGAAATTTTAGAGAAAATGGAAACAAAAATTACACTTCTACTTAATATCTGAAAGAGACAGTTGAAATCTCTAGGGCACATAATGAGGAAAAAGGGCTTGGAATATTTGATACTCACAGGACGGATTGAATGCAAGAAGAACAGAGGAAAACAACGCATAACATACTTAGTAAGCTTGAGTAAATGGATAGCAGAAGAAGGTTTGGGGGAGATAACAAGCTACAAGGGACAGGAAGTTGTGGAGAGTCATGATTACCAACACTATGAAGAGACGCGACATACAGAAGAACTAAACACTGCATCTGTTATAAAATATTCACGTAGATATTAGGTACATTTTAGTCTGCTTCTTTGTGTCAAATATAGACACCATGACAGTTTCATCTATAGTGTTAGCGTAGTAAGTGTCCTCGCTGTCACTGATGTCATCATCGTCATCCACATAGCGATATTTTCCTTCTTCATCTAAGGGATATCATTGTCGCTTCTGTTCTGTGTGCTATTGCTTGTTTGGTTGATTTTGTTTAGCAATATATCATCACTTCTATGGGTTATTTAATACCGAAATTTAAATATTTTGAATGCAATTTTATGATTTCAACTACATATATTTTCTACATCATTTTCTGCTTTCAAAGTAAAGACACGTTTTTTAGATATAAAGCTTGTAGCTGATAAAAAAACGTATTGTTGGTAATTTTTTTTAAAAAGTGTATTACTGGTAATTTTACTATAAAAATATATTTTTTAGTGTTGTATTAATTGTTATTTTTCTATAAAAAGTATTGTTGGTGATTTTATTATAAAATCTATTGTTGTTAATTCTACTATAAAATGTATATCAATTTTGCTATAAAATGTGTTGCTGGTCATTTTGCTATAGTGACCTTTCAAGCGTAGCTAAGATGTGGCACAAGGCCGAAATAGGGATACCCAGTGAGGATCGAACTCACTACTTAGTCGTAATTGTTCTAGCGAGACAAGCTTGCTAACCATTACATCACCTCGAGGTGACCTAAATATGAAAAAACAACATCGATTTTCCAAGCGTAGCTAAGATGTGGCACAAGGCCAAAAGTAGGGGTACCCAGTGAGGATCGAACTCACAACTCAGTCGTAATTGTTCTAGTGAGAACAAGCTTGCTAACCATTACACCGCCTCGAGGTACCCAGTTTTGCTATAAAACATATTGTTGGTCATTTTGTTGTAAGAATATATTGTTCCTCATTTTGCTATAAAAAGTATTATTGGTAATATTTTTATATAAAAATGTATTGATGTTTTTACTATAAAACAATTTTTGGTTTTCGTTTAGGGGTTCTCTTAACTGGAGCCCTAACAGGTGCTACCACCCGGGTCAGCGTGAACTTTGAATCAACAGCAATTAAGAGGTAGAGATCCACACTCCTCAAAACCTCCAATCTCCCATTCAAAAGCCTTGCTGCCGGCTGTAGTTTATCGTCATAACCAGGACTATGTGTTACTGTTGCAGCATTTTTTAAAAATGGTTTTGCAACAATGCTGACAGGGATGGTCTGCTAAGCTTTCATTATCCGTACACTATTTACATTATTCGAAATATTGACCTCATATTTGCTGCCATATTTATCACAACGTTTCGGCCGTTGAGTGCTCCGGCCTTCTTCAGCTGGCTGGAATGTAAATAGTGTACATAATACCTCATCTCAGAAATATACACAGATTTCATTGTCCGTGTTCGATAGAAATCCCTGTTAGAATGAGTGCCTTGTACCAACCACATAATGTCCACTTCTGTTTTTCACCGCTGCAGAAAAGTAGCCACCAATCATTGGAATATGTGTTTGTTTATAAGCTTTCTTTTTCCTAACGTGGGCTTATTTTCGCCGCAAACCTATTACGTTTTGGGGTGAATATAACCCTGCGTGATATGATGGCGGAATAGATATTGCATGAAATTCCCGCCAAAACCACCAGACATCAAGAAAACTGGGTGTAGCAGAGAGTTGATCTGGATTGTGTCCCAGCCACCGAATGCAGTAGTACGCAATCTCACACCTGCATCCGGTATTGTAAACGTGGGAAGGAGAATGTTGGGCAGATGAATTTATAAACAATTGCCCCATGGTAGTCTGGACAGTCTCACACATCTCAGACGAAAAATGTCGGACCCACATATCGGATGAAAGGTGTCCGCGGCTGCCTGCATGCAGAGTAACTGACGAAATACTGAAATAAAATGTTATGTAAGGAAGATTCAAGAATTTGTGTTATCATTAATAACCGAATAAATCCTAAACACTGTGTGTCTGGGAATTTTATGTTTCAAAACATAACAGAAACTATATTGATCTTTATTCTTAATCGATATAAACCAAATAAAGAGTTAAATGGTAAATTTAAGTGATATTTAACTGCTTTAAATCCTAATAGGCAAATGCGTGTTATATACGATAGATTATCTTTTCCCAAATGTCGTAGCTCAAAGTTAAGGGCGCGTATTATACACAAATAATTACGGTATTGAATATGTTTTTGAGCAAGGAGCACAAAAGATATATAGAGGTATAGCGTTTTAACTGTGACTAAAGTTCTCTGGTTAAATAGCTGGACTGACTGGGTCCTGTAGCAAAAAAATAACGGTAGCCTACTGCGGGAATTCCTCTGCCAAGTCAATTATGAACTGAAAAGTAAAATGATCTCACGCATGACACCTGAGGAAGGTAAGTTCAGTCAGTTTAGATAGGAATATCTGTCGACGGTTTGTGAACAGGTTACTTTTCACCAAAGGTCAGTCGTGGCTAACTGTTTATTTTTCTTTTTGGTCTACAGATATAACGAACTGCAGTGAGTTACAAATAAACGTCACTTCCTGCGAAGTCGTCAACAACGGAGTGAACGCCACCATCGTGCAGAATGGAGTGAGAAATGTAACTACCAACTTAGAAAGATGTGAGTAACTTACGACCCTTTTTACCCTAAACCAAATCGTGAGATATGAGGTGCGGGTGGCGTAGCAGTTAACAGCATTGAAAACTAGAATCGGCGAACCAAGTTCAAACTCTAGCTGAAACACTTTGCTTTCACTTCACACGCATGCACTTGGGAAAGGCATGAATCCACTACTCCCTCCAATTATGGGTATTTAGTAGAGTAAGTGGAGATGTGTAAACGTGTAAAACAGTCCATCTTAGCAAATCCCGCCCCGTAAAAATTCACTCGATACTGAAGCCGCAACTGCATCACTTGGTGTAGTTATAGCCCTCCCTATCATCCACAAAGAAGTCCGTTGAAATAAAGAGAAAGTTTACGGAATTAGGGTGAAAATGAAATAATGGTAATAATAAAACAATACTAACATGTGTGTAACTGATATTACAAAATTACTAAATAAACGATCAGGATTTATCTCAAAACGCAGACACGAAAACAAATTTATAAAATGTTACCTAAAAATCGAAAACTAAAAACTAATACCCTGCAAAATACCGTCTTGAAAAGTGCAAATATATGAAAGATAACGTAAATACATGATGCAACAGAAATACCTCCCACATAATAGTAAGGCAATAGTGGCAATGGTGTCTTCATCTAGCCAATGTCTTACCCTTATGTGGGGGTGATTTCCCAGTATAAAAAAAAATAAGTACATGTAATAATAATAATAATAATAATAATAATAACTAGCATCATATAATTAATTAATCAAAAATAAATAATAAGTAAAAAGTTAATAAACAACACTATACTACAATTAACTGTATTCAAATTCACAATTATTTCTACGCAATAGCCTCAAGAGTAATTGTAAACTTTAAGATAGTACCATTGCCTATGCTACCCACAATACCCACCCCTTAACCAACATATAATGTATAAATGGTCGAATCAAAACACATAGTTTTAAAGTTGTCTTCAAGCATGGAAAAATGTCACTGCTCGGTGTTTACCTCAATGTTCAATATATATATATATATATATATATATATATATATATATATATATATATATATATTTGGGCAGTAATCCCTCTTTTATACAAGTTTCATTAAAGACGACTAACAAGGTATTGCAATTAAGCTTTTTATTTACTTTTTGTGTTCATATAAGTATTTTCTTTTCTGGATATAAAGTGCGTAAAACATTTTCAAATGTTCTGCATATCTGAGGCAATTCTTTTAACCATTATCAAGAAGAATTTTTATTTTAAATAAATGTATGAATTTTTTATATTTATATTTAGTTATAGGAATTATTTTTTATTGTACAAACAGTCAGTATTTATATATATATATATATATATATATATATATATATATATATATATATATATATATATTATAATAAAAAAATCGCCACACAAAAACTTTCATGTTTCAATATGATTGTACTTCTTCAGGCAATGGTAAGTAACTGGTGATTAAAGAATTTTTAAGGAAATTTAAAAACGAAGTGTTACCTCTTTCCCAAAAGTTAAAGGGTGAGGGACATAAGGTCAGAATTAAAAATAGACTTGTGGGTATGTCTTGATTAACCAATTAGATGTCAGATCTATGCAAAATAGAAAAGTAAGGTCAGAAAAGTAACATATATATATATATATATATATATATATATATATATATATATATATATATATATTATTACATATATTTAATTTAAGCACTTCTGCGTTATTGGTTTTATTTGTAATCCATGTTGAACTGTTTCTATCTCCTACTTATTGCAATGGGTGTGTGGATGGTGTAATGGATAGAAGCATAAAATGAGAATCGGGAAGTTGTGTTCGAATTACAGTACAGGGCTTACATTCACTTTGGAAAGGCATCTCTTCTTCCAATCCACCTCAGCTGTGGATTCAATAGCAGGGCAGACTAGGCTCTCTTCCTTGGTTGTCAATCAGTCTAATAGAAAGACAACTCTAAATTCAAAACCGAATGTGGCCGTGAAACCAAATCATATGCATATCACCCAGAAATCACCTCTTCCAGGGCTACGGTGCAGCGGGATGTTGGATGTGGTCAATGAGAGAATCTAACAGACCAGATTTCTGGCAATGAACTGCAATGGTGTCATGCAACAAGATCCTTCACCTGGACAATGAATGAGACATAATTATTCCAAGCCAGGCTGCAGGTTTGGATTGGCTTATTTTGTTTTACAGTATATCAACACCTAAATGATAGGATACGTTCGTACAAATAGAATATGTATTCTTTGTATTAAATCAGTTTGTAGATCAGGTTTCATTGACGTATTTTTGTACAGAGGGTTGTTGTCGCAAGTCAATTGTATTGCTGGTAATATTTTTTTTCTAAAAATATATTGCTGGGAATTTATTTTTCTTCAAAAAAGTATTGCTGGTATTTTTACTACAAAAATCTATAAAGTATACTTTAATAGTATTTTGGCCCCAGTTTGGGGGTTAACTATTTGTCCCTAGCTGGAACCCTAACAGATGCTGCCACCCGGGTCATTGTGAACCTGGGATCAACAGTAATTAAAAAAACCTCCCGATCACAGGCCTTGCTGCCGGCTGTAGTTTATCGTCATACCCAGGATTAGGAAGCTACAGAAACACAAAGGAAAAAAATTAGAGCATGATGAAACATGGGAGAATCTGAACAGACAACCTAGTTAGTTGTTTTAGTCATAATTGAAAAGGCATGAATCCATCTCTTTTTCACCCAGCAATAGCAGGATAGACTGGACTCTTGACTTGGGTGAAAACCAATCTCAGAGAATGCGGGAAGAATGCAATTCACAGAAAAGGAATGTTTATTGAATCATGATTGTCTGCGTAATTGCAATTGAGATTCCAAATTGTTGCGGTATTTGCCCCTATATATTAGGGAGTTCTCGGCCTTGTGCCACAATAATAAATAAACAGAATGTCTACTCAAATTTAAGTACCCACTAAAAATAACATTTAAAGTGTTACATATCTAAGAAAAGAATAATTACTTTAAGACACAATGCTGACCATTTTTTTAAAGATATACTGAAATGCTCACAAGTTTTCAATCTATGTATTTACGAATGCTAGAGCAAACCATGAATAATACCTTGATGCTACAGAGACATAACAATAAATGTGTTGAGAGATTGATGTTGGGATAGCTATAGTAATCCTGTCTAATGGTATTTGCTTCTATATATTAAGTCGTTGTAATGATTCAAAGGATGTGTGAGTGATGTAATGGATGAGGGAGCAGAATGGGAAATTAGAGAGCTGAGTTCAAATTCCAGTCAAGTTCAATACATTCACTTGCACAAAAATACACCTGTAAAAGGTTTGAATCCACCTCCCCCCAAATATGGGTGAAACAGCAAGGAAAACTGTGCTCTCTAGTAATCAGTCTAGAAGAAGGACAACTCAAAACCGTATGCGGTCCTGGGACGAAATCACAGTTTGCCTTTTTGCAAGGCATAGCACTCGAATGCCAAACCTGTCAGAGTTATGGTGAAAACATCATCAGCAGTATATTGGATGTGGTCAGTGGCAGAATCTGGGATCTCTAGCTATGTTTGGTATTCTGTCTAGGAGAAGGACAACTCTGAATTCAAAGCTGTGAACAGTGACAGAATCTAACAGACTAGGATTGTGACATTGAACTGCAATGATGTAATGCAACAAGAACCTTCATCCTGAACAATGGATGAGAACTGATTAGTCCGAGGCAGATAGAAGCTGCGGGCACTCCTAGATAAGTAGCGATTTTGTTTCATACAATATACGCAACCTAAACCCCCTATGATAATACGAGGAGGTGGCTTCTCGACAGACGACCCAGTTAGTTACTTTAGCATGTTTTCCATTGATCTTTTCTCAACTTTAACTTGTTTTTTGTTTTTTTCAAACGATTCTGTTGGTTCTGTTTCACACTCAACATTCCAACTAGCATGAGATATTTTACGTTTTAATCATGTTGGCAAAGTGTTTTTCATGATCTCTTTATTTTTATGATTCCTACGTATTGTCTATAATAATATTTAATCATTATTTTTCTTCTTTCTAGGTCACCATCTTTTTGCCAGTGCCAACCTGAGTGATGCGATTATCGGCGTCATTCTCTTGGTCTGTTCGCTTTTTATGCTTTGCGTCTGTCTAATCTGCATCGTCAAAATTCTTCACACTGTCATGAAAGGCAGCACGGCCAAAATGATTAAGAAAATGGTCAACGCTTCCTTTCCGAAACCATTTGGCTTTCTCACTGGTTACCTCGCCATTCTGGTTGGCACGGCACTGACTTTCCTCGTTCAGAGCAGCTCCATTTTCACGTCGACCCTCACCCCTCTGGTCGGCATCGGCGTGATCACTTTAGAGCGAATGTATCCGTTAACTCTCGGAGCAAACATTGGAACCACTGCTACAGCTATTATGGCGGCAATGACGGCCTCCGGGCATAGTCTGTCCCCGGCACTGCAAGTCGCCTTCTGTCATTTATTCTTCAATATTACAGGAATTGTGATTTGGTACCCGATTCCTGTGTTACGACGCGTACCACTAAATTTATGCAAATCATTAGGTAACACAACAGCCAAATATCGATGGTTCGCCTTAGTTTACTTGTTTGGGATGTTCCTTCTTCTTCCGGCATTGACGTTTGGTGTCTCTTTAGGAGGTTGGCCAGCTTGGGTTGGTGTCTTTGGCCCAATTGTACTCTTGATTCTCTTTGCGATTGTTGTCAATATCCTGCAGAGGAAATGTCCTCGGGTTTTGCCGAAACGAATGCAAACTTGGGACTTTTTGCCGTTATGGATGCACTCTCTGAAGCCGTACGACAAGCCAATGATCTCATTGAGTAATGCATTTGGAAAATGTAAACAGAAGGTCTGCTGTTCGGGCAAGAAACCAAAGATGAGCGAATTAAAGGCAGAAACCAATCTTGCCATGTCAAAATCGACGGAGACTCTTTGACACCCCAACTCCAAACAAAAATGGGACGGGTGAATAGAAATATCTTTAATAAATCTGAAAAAAATGGGGAAGACGAGAACTACCTCGTGAGAAAGAGTGAGAGAGAGAGAGAGAGAGAAAGAGAGTGAGTGAGGGGGAAAGAATAGAGAGAAAAGAGGAACTAAAAATATAAATTGCGAAAAAGAGAATGATTGAACCAGAGTAAAACAAAAAAGAGAGGAAGACAGACGATAAAGGCAAATGTCTAAGAAAGAAAGAAAAAAAAAACAAACTTTGGAATTAACCAAAAAAAAAATGTATTCAAGCAATAATCTTCACAGAAAAAAAAAATGAAAATGTGGACCACTCCCCAAGAAAAGAAAATATCTACATCTGTTATCTTCGTTTCGTTCCCTATTTCATTTCTGCTTTTTTATTGACTCAATCACGTTGATATCGGGTCGAGTGGGACAAAATCAGTGAAGCAAATATAAGCGGAATATTTCTTGTTCACACATGACCTCGTCATCCGTCACATTTAACTAAATTAATGTTTTCAATTAATTTCGTATTTCTGTTTTTAATACTGCCACTTTCCATCGATTTATTTCAGGGTTTCCCAAACTTGTCGATATCGTCCATCGGTGGGCGATATCAAATGTTGGGTGGGTGATGAACAACTGAACAGAAAATGATGGGTGATTGGAAATTTGGTGGGTGATATAGAATTTTTAGTATTAAAAATTATTTTACGGTGAAATAATGGATAGCAGCTCGGATTGGAGAATCGGAGAGCCGAGTTCGAATTCCAGTCGAATCCATTACATTCACTTACGTACTAATACCCTTGGGAAAGTTATGAATACTCTTCATCTCCTCCCTTCCAGCTATGGGTAAATAGCAGGACAGACCGGGTTCTACAACCTTGGATGGCAACTGGTCTAACGCAGGAAGAAATGGCAACCTACTGCGGAAAAAAAATCTGCCTCGTCAGTCATGTATCGAAAGATACATGATCGCCTAAGTGTGTATAACGCATGGCACATAACTAGCTGACTTACACGTAAAAAATATTCAAAGGAAATATGCAAAGAACCTATATTTAAAAACAAGACAGGAGGCTTAAATGGGAATAACTGTGTCACATTCCAAGATAAGATAGAAATATCCCTGCAAGCAACGAATATTTTGATATTTTCTACAGTTTTGAAAAGGGTCATTTATATTCAAATAGTTCTCCAGACGAAATAACATTTTTTCGGGTATAAATCAGATAAGGGAAGACCAAGTACAACAAAAAATACTTGCTGAATTTTTATTAGTTGCTAGTAGTGTACATTCTTTTTAATATTATAATTATGAACAAAAATTGTTTCATTTTTGTCAACATTTTTAACGCTAGCCCTAACCATAAAACTAACCTTGACCATAAAACTAAATTATATATATATATATATATATATATAGCAGTCGCATGAGTCAGCGTTATTTGTTACCTCCCTTTGTTTTTTGTTTTGTTTTTTTTCACTTCATCATAGTTCAAATGTTTTTTTTTTAAATCATTCCATTTTTTTTTCCTTATTTTTTTTCCTTTATTTCTTTTTGGAAGAGGATATTTAGCTGGTTCTGGTAAAATAGACAAACATGCTTTTAAGCTTATTTTACCCGTTTCAGTAAAATAGCCCAAGGCTATGTTGCCTGTATATATTTATGAAGTCATGTAATGTTAAAAATAACACACAGAGAAGTTTATTTTCACCAGTTTATTTTGTTTTTTCATCATCAGTTGTTAAAGTTAAAATCATTTATTCATCATCAATTATTAAAAGAAATGTAGAAGTCTGTGAATATTTTAAGCACTTCAGGCATAACATTATCTGCAAATCCAAGACTTGCCCTTGGGCATGGTTCTCTTGCCAATACACTTTTAGATGCACCCACTGAAGGTAAGTCATAGACCACAGACTTCATGTTGATGTGGGGCGCTAATAAGATTTGGTATGAAATGTATCAGAAGGGTTTTGATGAAAGTTGCATTTTGAAATTAGCACACCACATTTAATTTGCAAAGAAACATGAAAAAAAAAATGACAAGAGATCATTGAATGGTTAACAAGAAAAACATGTATTGAAAACAACTAATTTATTCTAGAAAAAGAAAATAAGGTGGTCGGACGGTGGAGGTACAGAAATTCTAGTGCAGGCATTGATGGTCGAGGTTGTTGGTGTTGGTAGTTGCCAGGGTCATTGCTGTTGGTTGTTGGGGTTGAAGCTGATGTGGGTTGTTGCCAGGATCATCGCTATTGATTGTTGAAGTTGATCGTTGCCGGGATGATCGCTGCAGGTTGTTGCAGTTGGTTGTTGGATCATCGCAGTTGATTGTTGCAGTTGATGTTGGTTGTTGTGAAGTTGGTCGTTGCCAACTTGGCGTTGGTTGTAGTTGGTCGTTGCCGGGTTGCCAACTTGACGTGTTGGGAAGGAAAGAAGAGCTGGCGTTGTTCGGGCATGTCAAAGGTCCAGTGCAGGCGTTGCGTGTTTGCCGGTCGAGTCTGATATTAGTAACCTCCTGTATTAATTACTAACATAGTGTACGGGAGAGGTTAAGGACGAGGTGCAGGCAGCCAGTAGGGACAGAATGCCGAGAGTCAAACAGGAGCCAGGAATAGTAGGCAAAGGAGAGAGAGAGAAAGGAAAGTTTCCAACTATCGTCAAGTTGGCAGACAAAAAAAAATGGGAGCGTAACTTAATACGCAGCCTGTTGATCGACGTTCCTGGCCGCGAAGGCCAGGGGCCTGCGTATTCGACCGTTTCAGTCACCGACCCGGATTTAGTGAGAAGCCACTGTCTTGTGGTAAGGGAGGCCAGCAAGTGAATTGGATAAGCTAACAGTAAAGTGTCTATAATAAAATACCCTAACACCTAACCCTAAAGTTAAGCCGGTTTATTTTATAATTTAATTTTTTTAAATTTGTCCCCTTTTCTACACAGAAAGAAGCCAACCCTACACCTAACCCTTTAAGCCCTTTTATTATTTAATTTTTTAATTTGTCCCTTTTCTAAAGAAAAGCCAAACACAATCCCTAACCCTAAAGTTAATAATATTGTATTATTTCATGTTTTCTTTTTTTGTTCATTTAATTTGTCATTGCTATTCAACACGGAAAAAAAGGTTCTATTGTATTATTTAATTTGTTTTTGTTATAAATAAAACTACACTTACCAAAAAAAAAAAAAAATTACATTTGTTTACGGTAGTGCGTAGTGATTTTCTGCGCCGAAAGTTTGTAAAAGAAGTAAATAGGCCACAATTTCTGATTACGCCAGCGGAAGTACATCGCACCGTATTACTAAACAGTATGGCAGTAATGGGGGACGAATGACCAACAAGAAGTCCGATTTTTTTGCCGATAACTCCAAAACGGTAGGTTTCTTCATAATTTAATTGTTAATTCGAGTTCAGCATGTATATTTACACGAAATTATGACGATTTGGGAAAATTTTACGTGTTATTTATCGCGGGTGTTAAAAAGCAAATTTACCAATTATGTAAATTAATTAAAATGTTTACATTCTTTTCCAAATCTTTAAATCTTTTTTATAAAAATACAAAAGAACTAATTAGTTTTACACAAAGTGACAAACGAAATGTTTATAACGGTGAGAACTTGGATAATACCCATGAAAAGAAAGTTCCGGTACAAGATTCATAAACCAAATACAATTATTTTACTACTGTTGAGTTTAAAATGAAAAAAAAAAAAAAAAAAAAAATGAGGTTTTATGGTGTGGACATTTTTAAAAAATTATTCTAATTTTTTCAACTGAAAAAAAAAAAAAAAACTAAATTCCATATGAGAAAAAAAGTAATTGGTTTTCATCGCTGGTCACAACCTATTGTAATTAAACTCCATTTTGCCCTATAAAGTGAATATTTTTTAAATATTTATAATTCCGATTTATTTTTATTTGATTTATTGAGAACAAGTTAATGTCGCAATTTGAAAACATTTTATTAAATATCATTTGTTTTCCATAAGGTTACGAAAGTTTTTGACAGCGTTAAATCTTTCACTGATCAACGGAATGAAATTCCAACACTACAATTTTTAACCTAAACTTAATCTTTAAACTCGTTTCCTCAAAAAACTGTAACGATTTTTAAAAATATATTTTGTGCCATTAGTTATCATGCCAAGCCCTAATTTTCATATAGAGTGTGATACCACAGTTCCAAAATAAACCTAGCCTACTCTCTTAATTGCTAAAACTATTGCACTATGAATTTTTATGACACTAGTAAAAATGGCAGAAAGGGAAAAGTAGGAAAAATCTCTATCTTATAATCTATTTTGTATACATGTATCCTTGGAAGCAAATATTTTTCCTTTATTACTTAATAACAAGAGTGGCTAAACAAAAGATGTAGAGAAATAGGAAGATTGAGTAGCACCAACAAAGAAGATATGCATAAATAAATAAAAGAACTAACAGGACAGAAGACATGCTCGTCAACAGACTGCATAAAATCAAAGAATGTATTGGAGAACTCTTCCACAACGAAAGAGAACAACCAGCAATACAGAGAACAGGCCTGAAATTCTAAAAAGCGAAGTAGAAGCTGCACTGGCGAAATTGAACAGAAACAAGGCGGCAGGGCCAGACGGAAATGTAACAGAAATGCTGAGAGCCTATAGATGATTTTAGCATAGACAAGATCACAGAAATAATGAATGAAATCTACAACAGTGGGGTCATACCGGAGGATCTCAGCAGATCTATTTTCATAGCACTGTCTAAGAAACCAGGTGCAAACGAATGTGAACTCCACCAAAAAATCAGCCTAATCAGCCATGTAACAAAACTCATCATCGATATTCTGATGAATAGAGCACGGATCATAATCAGGCCATAGATAGGACAAGAATAGTGCGGGTTCGTTACAGACACCGGAACAAGAAACACGATATTCATGCTCAGAAAGAGCAATAAAAATGCAGAAGGATGTGCACCTATGTTTCAT